AATCTGAACACCAAGTCTGCAGGATTCCCTTTCCCGCACATCCTGAGCACCTATATTCTAGTAACCAGAATCCTTCCCATGTGTTTCCCAGCTTTGAGGGTGGTAGTCACTTCACAGTGATCATTTTGGGGTTATCTGTGTTCCCTTTTGTTCCAACACCTGTCTAACCATTTTTCTATACTGCATACGCTGTTCAAATACCTATTAGTTTTCTTCTTCAGTGAATTGTGATTCATACACCCAGTATAACCTACATCTCTGTCTAGTATAAACTAACCAGAAAGTGGGATTCTAATCCTGCAGTAAAAAAGACACCCAAACCTTTTATGGGTTTTAAGAGATGAAGAGGAATGATACAGTGGATAAACTCAATTTATCCCTAACTGAGTGAAAACCTGGACTGAACTAGTATCACAGACAGAGCCTAAATGCAGCAGCCTGGGACCACAAAAGCCAAGTTGAAGAGAAATGTAAGAGAAGGAAGGGTCCTCTCAGTTGAGTTCAGGGTCCATGTTGCTCCAAGTCCTGCCACAAGGCAACTTACATTGAAGGGTTAAAAAAAAAAGACAAAATTTAAAGTAATGATTATTTATTAAGATCTTTACACAGGAATCAAGATTATGGGTAAACATACAGTAGACGCTCACCTCTCAGGTGCAGTTTGTTTTACACACCTTTATGCATTCCAAATGTATAGAACTTGTAGAGGAATTTGAAGAAGCCACAAGATATTTGAGGAATGGTTTCCTCTGAGGCTGAAGTCACTTGTGATCTGGGAACTGTAACACAGGGAAACTCACGGTCAAGGGTCTCTTGTGACACAGAGCTAAAAATATATCTGGTAGGGGAGAGGTGCGTAGTGTTCATTAGACAGAAGGCAACTGCACTTTACGGGATGATATACATGGGCACTTACGGTACACGGAGTCACTGGATAAGTGACCCTCCCAAAAGTGGGACCAGATGGGGTAGTGAGACTGGAGGAGAGCCAGGAGAGACACTATCATTTAAGGTTCTTTGTTGAGTCAGGGCCTGTGCCAGTTGCTCTATTACTTCCCTTAATTCTCCATAGCAACTCTTGGTTACATTGATTCCTGTTTACAAATTAAGAGAGATTAAGTAGCTCACCTAAGGTCATACAGGTAGAGACCAAGTTAAGGAGGGCATTATTTTCTTCCCTCCTGCACCACATGCCCCTTGGTGGTCCAAAACTGATGCCCAAATTACTACTCCCACAGATCTGTTCCTTTATGTGAACTAAGGAATCTAAGAGCTATTTAGTTTAAATATTTATTTTTCTTTCTTTATGTGGCTAGGCAAGGTCTTGGTTATAGCACATGGGTTCTTGGAACTTTGTTTCAGCATGTGAGATCTTTCAGTTGTGGTATGTGAACTCTTAGTTGCAGCATGCAGGGTCTAGTCCCCTGACCAGGGATCAAACCCAGGCACCCTGCATTGGGAACATGGTCTTAGCCTCTGGACCACCAGATAAGTCCCTCTAAGAGTCTGTTTAAAGCCATTCACATGTTCTACAAGTATCTCAGAGTGCAGATTTGGCTTCTGGGATTTAGTTTGCAGACTTCTGTGCTGGGGGGCTTTCAGCTGAGGCTTCTGGTGTGTTCAACAAGCTTCCTTTCCCTGGTAGGTCCTGAATTCTGTTCTTATCTCATCTGCAGTGTGAGCCTGATGACAACTCCTCTCTGCTTTTCAGAGGTTTTCAGCCTTTTAGCCTCCGCTCTTAACAGTTTCAAAACTGTAGTTATCTTGATGAGAAGGTGGAACTTGTGTCTTATGACCTGCAAGTCTCTAAACACTCCAGCTTTGTGAGCTGGCCTAGAGCTCTGCCAGTAGAGCAGACCTGTTCACCAGCTAAAGTCCTCATTCTCACTCTGTGTTCAGAATAGGCACGTTACAGTGGAAGAGGGGCTGCAAACATCAGTTCACCTCTCACATCTCCCCTCCCGAGAATCTCAGCCTCTAAATTAGTCCTCATTGTTTCAGTAGCTTTCTGATGTTTTTAAGTAGAAAATTTTATACTTTTATCTGGCTCTTCTCATTGTCTTCAGCAGGACTGCAGGTCTACAGCACTGCTACCTGAAAAGCATAAGCTTTGCTTCTCAGATAATTTAAAAATAGTACACTAAAGCTAAACATATTCATTCACAATGCTATTTGCAAAAACTCAGTTACTTTTTTTTCCACAATGAAAAATCTTCCTAAATTATGATTCTTAGAATTTAAAGGCAAAAAGGACTGTCTAGAGTGGTATAGGCTTAGATGCATACATATCCTTAATCTTATAATATTTTAGGAATATTTAAGTTTTGATTAGATGATACAGTCAACATGATTGAAAATTCAAAAAGTATAAAAACATAAACTCATTCTTCTACTTCTGTCTCCCAGGAACCGTTTCTCTCCCTGCTGGCAATACTGTTTTTCTCTCTCTTACGTAGATATATATTTCTCTTCTTTGGATAAATTGCACACTATTCTACACTTGTATTTTTTTGTTTATATCTTATAGTGCTTTTCGTATCAGTAAAGTGGGTTTTTTTGTTTAACTGCTGTACAGTATTCCATTTTACCATCATTTATTGTCTCTTGATATGCTTAAGGTTGTTTCTAACTTGTTATTACAAACAATACCCTACAAAAATCTTTTGTACGTGCTATTCTACATATATGTAAAAACAGTAAGAAATCACTAGAGGCAATTTGCCAAGGTTACCTCTCCAGGGCTTTAAAACTTGAAAATTTTCTATTCGCATCAAGCAACATATAAGAGTGCCTATTTCCCTACACTTCTGCCAAGACTGGAAAAAACAAAAACAAAACCAAAACCCACATGCACATAAAAACAAAACCAAAAAAGCACCTTTATCTTTACTAATGAAGGATGGAAAAACATATGAGCATTGGTGTAAGTGATATTATGCATCTTTTCACACATTCAAGAGCCATTTATATTTCCTTTCCTGGGAACTGTTTCTTGGGAACATCAACTTTTCTAATTTTTCTTTTGAGGTGTTAGTCTTTTTCTTAATGTATTGGCAGACACTTTAGCTTTCATGGTGAACTGTATCTACTTTTTCCCTAGTCTTCCATGTCTTCCAATTTTCCTTTATGGTAATTTTTACACAGAACTTATTTTCATGTTTTAATTTTTAACTGTGATAAAACATATAGTCTATTTTAATTTTTAACAATTAATTTTCAGATTCTCAGCCTCTGCACAGTTCTGGCACTCCTTGAGAAATTAAACACTCTCATATCCCTTCCATAAAAATGGAAGGAAAAGTATCAATACATTCTAATGACACAAAATATTTATTAGTTTCTGACAAAGATGCATACACGGTAGGAGTATCAGAAAGACTAAGAAGTTAAAATTTGTGTTAAAGCCAATTTTAGTCAGGAAGACTTTTCACAGACAAATAAGTGGTTATATGTGTAAATCCTAAATACATTATACTATTTTTCTCCCTTTTCGGTCATGGACTATTCCAGGAAGATTTAACTGCATAACTTTTATTTGAGGAATCCCTAAAATGTAAAGCAAAATTGGTCTTAAAAAAATATTGGTTTGATGAAAATATTTTAGTCTACTTTAGACAAATTTGGTTAGTTTCTAAGTACACTTCATTTCAGCACAATCATTACTCAGGAGACAATCATTTTTGAGAAAGGGCAAACTAAATTTTAAGGTAGCATCAGGATTCTACCCATAATTAATCAATATTGAAGGAGATGCCATCATCATGCAGATTACAGAATTCTGGTTACAAAATTTGGAGGAAAAAAAAAATCAGTGTCCAACAGCACTGATAAATTTAAACTACAATTATTAACTCTAGGACATTTTATTATGTTATTACCTTAATAGGATGGTTAACTAGACATCCGTCAGAAATGCTGTTAAATCTGTTATTTGCTTTGAGCAAATAACTACTACTGAAACAAAAGATATCTAAATTATATTTCATAAAATGAAATTGCTTCCTTCCTATTTAACTTTCGGGGTTAAGACAGGCCAAAACCCAAGTATCATACTTTCTATTTTTGTCCATAAACACAAAATAAGTCAGTATGATAACCTAAGGAAATAAACACATGGTTAGTCAGGTTCTACAATATAGGATACTGTGACATAACTTTCCATTTTTTCCTCTGGAATAGTCGATTAGATAGTATGGTGTGTAAAACTATAAAGTCTGAATGTTTCTTGTGTCATTCAGCAAAGAAAGGACGAGGAAGAACACTGTCAGACTACACCTGCTACTCCATTCTAGATTCAGCCATATGATCATCCCTCACTGTCCATCTACCCACCTCAGCCTCATCCCAAGACAAGCTCCTTTGCATCAAGAGTCTGGTTTCCTTTGTCAACTAAGTCCCAATTTTCCAGAAAACCCTGATTTTTCTGATTTCACACTGACCCCAACCCATTTTAAGTCAAAGAAAATACTGTAATACTTAAAGTAATTAAAGCAGAGATGGAAATTAGTGTTATGGAAGACCTATGTCAAATGCTCTGCAAATATATGGGAAAGCTGCAAGAAAACAGCTTTTAAACCCTGCCTGGATCCCTCAGCTACTTGGTATTAATGTTGCTTTGATTACTAGTCAGGACAAAAAGGGGCTCAAAGGCCATAAATATGCATTTTGGGGAAATGCACGGATCTGAAGATTTCCTGGGAGTTGGCAAATGCAATTTTATATCTGTAAAGACTGTCAACCTATACTTAGTACATCAGTTATTGAAAAAGGAAAGGAAAAAAGAAAAAAAAGAAAAAGGAAAGGAGTGGGACTCTTGCTTACAACTGAGTCCAGCAGAAACACGTTTGTATATTCCTCCTTTCATAATCACATGGTTCTTTAGTTAGAGACAATGAGTGTGTCCACAGAGCAGAGCTAATGAAAATTTTATAAAGAACCTATGATAGAAAGCTTCACAACCCAGCCTTACTGGATTATAAAATACTCTTCTTACTCAAGCATTACTTTGTGACTCTCTGAAACATCTGAAAAATACTCTTCTGTGACTTACTAGGCTGTAGGGAATGAACAGTTTTAGGTACATTACAATTATCTCTAGTAGAATCTGCTATCTTTCTTCCATTAACCGAACATTTCAACTGGATCTTAAATGAAGGTTGCTGATTTTCATTTTTTGAGTCTGTCCGAGGTTTTGGCTGCTTTAGCTCGGTTTGTCTTTTGGAGTTTCTGTCTCTAGAATTCTTTCTCTGTCCACTGAGTAATTTGTCTGGAGGTGAGGACACAGTCCGTAACTGATACCCATCTGGGGATCCTTTTTGCCTGTCTGGCCTCATTTGTTCTTGATCCACCTCTTTCTGAAGTTGTAATGCTAGTAACCTGTCCTGCTTTTCTTGCATATGTCTCTCAAAAAGTAGATGTTCCAAATCTATCAGTTTTTGGGTAAAGCTGATTTCTGTTTTCTCTTGGTCTGTGGAGGCTTTGGGGAACATTTTTCTTCTTTTTGCAGAAAAGCATGGCTCTCTGATTGCTTCAGACAGAGGTTCTAGGTTTCTTCTTTTGGAGGTATCTTGACTGATCGGTAGGTGAGACTCTTCATTTTCTGTCTCAACCGTGTTGTTTCTAATGAACTGTGTCATATCTGATACAGTGCACCCACTCTCTGTTTCACCATAAGGCTTAGTGGCAGCATCTCCAGAGTAGGGAAATCTGGCTTTAGGTTCCTCATGATTTATGACACATAACCCTTTTTCACGATTGCTTGGTCCTGTTTCAACTTTTCCTTCAAGGCACCATTCTCCACCACTGGTACATAACTGAGGCATAGGTGACTCCACTGAAGATTTTGCACCTTGTTCCTGAATAGGAAGGCATGTTTGAGGAGAAAGCGTTGGCATATCTTCCTCAATGTCTGTGTCTTGCCATGTAGGGCTCTTCACATCACTGTTGTCGTCAGTTTCCTGTAGAAAACAGAAAAAGATTGAATGAACTAAGGGAAACCATCAAGTTATAACATATAAGTCTTATTACACTGACACCAAAACTGAGTTGTCACTATATACTATAATTACCTGCTTATTACTACTAAGATATATTAGTTCTTAATAGTATTTTTATTCTGTGTGCCAACTTAAGGTATTTCTTCACTTTCCCTCCCATGAAAACCTACAGCTCAAAACCCACAAGCCAGTTTTATGTATGGCCAGGAGCTGGACCATGACTTGACCTCTCATCTCATAAACTTCCGCCAACCCAGGGACTTTTAATCCCTTTTTGTGTCACAAACCCTCCTCCTTTTGGCATTTTTGTGAAGCTGACAGATCTCTTCTGAGAATACTATTTTAAAACATAAAAGTAAATACATAGGGATCAATTTATATTACAACACAATTATTAAGATCTTACAATAATGTGTATCATTAATACATTAAATAATAAGATCCAGTGACAAGTCTAGTAATTTGTATCACTGAAGGAGGGATGAGTATAAATAATGTTTCAAGAGATCTGCAACAAATGTAATATGTTATTGGTGACAAAGACACAGGTACTGTTGACAGTATTATGGTTTGCTGCTTATATTCATGACTAAAGGCAACTAAAATGAGAGGTCAGGCAGAAGATAAACCTTTTCTTTTATCCAGGTTCTTATTTACTCTATGGATTCTACCCACAGACCTTAGGTTAAGAACCCTTGCTTTAGCCAGTATAATTCTTCTCACTTACAGGTCTTGGGTAAGTTAAGATCTAGGATTAGTTTTGACCATGGGAAAGCCTTAAGAAAGGCTTCAGTGAGAATTTGCTTCAAGACAAAAATTATTTCTTGTTCAAGATCTTAACTCTGTTCTTTTTACCTACTTTGCTTTGCATTTATTGTTCCTCATAACATTTCTTGTGAACCAATGTAGTCTGGGTTGGACAAATTCTAAGTTGCCTACCACGTTTTGCTATGAGTATTAATATCAGGATGGGGGGGAAAAAATCCCAGCCTTCAGTGCCTCCTTCCATCAATCTTTAGTCCCAGCATAAGCCAGACTATCTGGACTTGAATTTTCCTCTATTACCTTTACTTAAGGGACTAACTTTGTGGCTCAGCTGGTAAAGAATCTGCCTGCAATGTGGGAGGCCTGGGTTAGATCCCTGAGTTGGGAAATCCTCTGGAGAAGGGAATGGCTACCCACTCCAGTATTCTGGCCTGGAGAATTCCATGGACTGTACAGTCCACCAGGTTGCAAAGAGTTGGACATAGCTAAGTGACTTTCACTTTTATAGGACTCTGAGCAATTCTCTTGCCTCTGCATGCCTCGGTTTTCTCAATTATAATTGGACACAAGGATACCTTACAAAATTGGTGGTTGTGATGAAGATTAAAGAAAATACATACATTTGGGGCACATAAATGTATGTATGTGCATTTGGGGCACATAAATGTCCATTAAGTGTTAGGTACTATAAAACCACCAACGTGAATTGAAAAAAATTTAGGAACCTATTAACAAAACTTTGGTTAACAAAACTTCTATGTAGGACATTGATCTTGGTGTCAGCTCACTTTTTCTAGTGCTATTTTCATGCAAATATGATAGAGGTAGACTGTCACTTGTGTTACTAGGCCTCATAGCTTATGACAAAAATGACCCTTATTGTTGAACTGCATCTGTACTAGGAAACCTAGGAGGGATCTTTAACCCCCTATAGGAAGCCAAAGTTCAGGGCTTCGGTAAATGACTTACAACTCTGACTGGCTGTGTTCTTTACCAGGACCTCTGGAAGCTACACCCATGAGTTGTTACAGTAAATAATTGACTCTTATGGGGCATGGGACTTCTAAATCTTCGTGGTGACTACACTCCTCTGCATGGTCTGACTTCCAGGCCATCACTTAGGAGCTCTGCAGTGAGGATTCTTGCTGAACAGATATGCCTGATGCTGCCCTATTAGTATGCTTTATTTCCCATTCTATTATCTTTTAAGTGAAGCTGGTACCAGGGGTAGCCTATTTAGTTTTGTGAGTCTGATGATCTGGGTCAGTTAGTTCAGTTCCGTTGTGTCCGACTCTTTGCGACCCCATGAATTGCAGCACGCCAGGCCTCCCTGTCCATCACCAACTCCTGGAGCTTACTCAAACTCATGTCCATCAAGTTGGTGATGCCATCCAGCCATCTCATCCTCTGTCATCCCCTTCTCCTCCCACCTACAATCCCTCCCAGCATCAGGGTCTTTTCCAATGAGTCAACCCTTCGCATGAGGTGGAGTTTCAGCTTCAGCATCAGTCCTTCCAATGAACACCCAGGACTGATCTCCTTTAGGATGGACTGGTTGGATCTCCCTGCAGTCCAAGGGACTTTCAAGAGTCTTCTCCAACACCACAGTTCAAAAGCATCAATTTTTCGGCGCTCAGCTTTCTTCACAGTTAACTCTCACATCCATACATGACCACTGGAAAAACCATAGCCTTGACTAGACGGACCTTTGTTGGCAAAGTAATGTCTCTGCTTTTTAATATGCTATCTAGGTTGGTATAACTTTCCTTCCAAGGAGTAAGCATCTTTTAATTTCATGGCTGCAATCACCATCTGCAGTGATTTTGGAGCCCCAAAAAATAAAGTCCAACACTGTTTCCACTGTTTCCCCATCTATTTCCCATGAAGTAATGGGACCGGATGCCATGATCTTAGTTTTCTGAATGTTGAGCTTTAAGCCAACTTTTTCACTCTCTTTCACTTTCATCAAGAGGCTTTTTAGTTCCTCTTCACTCTCTGCCATAAGGGTGGTGTCATCTGCATATCTGAGGTTATTGATATTTCTCCCGGCAATCTTGACTCCAGCTTGTGCCTCTTCCAGCCCAGCATTTCTCATGATGTACTCTGCATATAAGTTAAATAAGCAGGGTGACAATATACAGCCTTGACGTACTCCTTTTCCTATTTGGAGCTAGTCTGTTGTTTCATGTCCAGCTCAAACTGTTGCTTCCTGACCTGCATATAGGTTTCTCAAGAGGTGGGTCAGGTGGTCTGGTATTCCCATCTCTTTCAGAATTTTCCACAGTTTATTGTGATCCACACAGTCAAAGGCTTTGGCATAGTCAATAAAGCAGAAATAGATGTTTTTCTGGAACTCTCTTGCTTTTTTGATGATCCAGTGGATGTTGGCAATTTGATCTCTGGTTCCTCAGCCTTTCCTAAAACCAGCTTGAACATCAGGAGGTTCATGGTTCACATATTGCTGAAACCTGGCTTGGAGAATTCTGAGCATTACTTTACTAGCGTGTGAGATAAGTGCAACTGTGTGGTAGTTTGAGCATTCTTTGGCATTGCCTTTCTTTGGGATTGAAATGAAAACAGACCTTTTTCAGTCCTGTGGCCACTGCTGAGTTTTCCAAATTTGCTGGCATATTGAGTGCAGCACTTTCACAGCATCATCTTTCAGGATTTGAAGTAGCTCAACTGGAATTTCATCACCTCCACTAGCTTTGTTTGTAGTGATGCTGCCTAAGGCCCACTTGACTTCACATTCCAGGATGTCTGGCTCTAGGTGAGTGATCACACCATGGTGATTATCTGGGTCAGGGATCTACAAATTTTGCCCATGGACAAAATTCCTTTTATCTTTTATATTTTGTCCTACCTCCTTTCGAAGACAATGGGCTGCTTTTCTGGGTGCCTAATGTTCTCTGCTAGCGATCAGAAGTTGTTTTGTGCAGTTTGCTCCCCGTTCAAATGTTCTTTCGATGAATTTGTAGGGAGAAAGTGGTCTCCCCGTCCTATTCCTCTGCCATCTTAGCTCCTCCCCCACAATGGACAAAATTCAACTTGGTGTCTGTTCTTGTAAACAGTTTTACTGGAACAAAAAAAGCTCATTTGTTTACATTTTATTCTGGATGCTTCCACGTGAAAACAAATCACTGAACAGTTGACTACCTGGGCCACAAAGCCTAAAATATTTACTGTCTGGCTTTTTAGAGAAAAAATCTGCTGACTCCTAAGTTAGGTGAGAATAAGCTGATTAAGAAGGTGTATTCCATTTACTACAGTGACTTTTTAAAAAAAAAAGTTAGGAAACTACAAGTATTAACGATCTATGACATTAATAAACTTGCCAAGCCAAGAATATCTTTAGCATCCACAAACCTTAGACATGGAGTTTTTTCTGTCTTCCTGCACAACTTCAGACTGTGATGCTGACCCAAGTTGAGATTTAGGTGACAAATACCTTTAGAAAAAAGAGTTTGAAGTCAATTACACTTCAATAAAATATATATATTAAAAAAAAGTTTGCCAAAATTTGAATCTTTGAAACACAAGTGGCATATATCCAATGAAATAAAGCCAGGTTAGCTATTTATGCTGAAAGTTGTCCGGCTTGCTACTTGGCTGATTTCTCAGAAAAAGTGTTATTTTATCTCCCTGTCTCAGGTATTTTGGTCTAGCTCTGGAACAAAACTTAAAAGTCCAAGTATTGATATTTAGTGAAAAATAGAAGGAAAGGAAGCAAAAGTCAAATCTAAATTATTCCTTAATTCTCAAAAGAATCTAAGTAGGTAGGTCCTGGCATCAAAACAACCTAAGGCTGTGTAGTCTTTCCAAAAGTAATGGAAATGACATTTTAAATCAGGAGAAGGAATATGCTAGTTTCTTTTTAATGTCAGAAATTCTAAATTTTTAATCTCTGGAAAATGGTCCATGATCAGATTCTTTACCATTTTGGTTTAGAGATTTTATTACATACAAATTTATATCAACTATCTGATTACAGAGACAAAAAAGATTTATCAATATGTTAGCGTAAGAGCACATCTCTATCTAAGCATCAGTTTAATCTTGTATTTCTGATAAATTTTTATGTTTATATATTTCAATGTATATATTTAGATTCACGAAGATTTAATGACAGTTATATCCTTTATGTGTGTGCATACTAAGTTGCTTCTCAAACTCATGTCCAACTCTTTGCGACCCTATGGACTATAGCCTCTCAGGCTCCTGTGTCCAAGGGATTCTTCAGGCAGGAATACTGGAGTGGGTTGCCATTTCCTTCTCCAGGGGATCTTCCTGACCCAAGGATCGAGCCTGTCCATTTTTATGTCTCGTGCACTGGCTGGCGGATTCTCTCACCAACAGCACCACCTGGGAAGCCCCCTATATCCTTTATGCAGAATAATAATATATCAATTTGAAATATCCCTGCTTTTCTGTTTTAATGGCTTTTCTCTTGATTTCTACTTTACATAATATCAACATTAATAATATTGATGCTACATGTCTGCTTTTTCTCTTAATAGCAACCACCTCTTTTAACACTGCCCTCTCCCCATAAATCTTCACCTCCCTGTCCCAAATTTCCACCATCTCAAATCCTAAATTTCTATGAATTTTGGAAGGGGGTAAATCACCTGCACATATTTATCTAGTTGAACCAAAAGCCCTTACATGTTTTTGAAGTCAAGATTGTAGCTGATAAACTTCTTCGACTATGAATTACTCTGGGAAAGCTTATCAACTCATCTTGCTGCTAAGAGGGGCACAGTGGGGCAACTAAACTCACTCCATTGTTGACTACCTGACTCATGCTTTTTGTACAGTAGGGAAGAAATGTAATATATAAACTGGGAAAAACAGAGTGGGGTAAGATCTAGATGCCAAACTGTAAACTCTTTCAATGAGGATGACCTTATATTGGACTAGTTGTTTTTTTTTTCCATTTGAATCTAAACCAAGAGAAGAAGGAATCCAACTGATTGACTGAGAAAATGGGACCAACATGGAAATCCTGAGCAATCAAGATAAAAAAAGGCTTCACATCTCTCTTCATGCTAGCCAGGAATCTAAGCTATGTGAGCATCTCTCTTATTTTCATTTTACATCAATCTCAGACCATCTGGAGGGTTTTCATGCAGAGCTGATGGGCCAAATTTTGATACAGCAGTAGTCTATATTCACTTACTTCTGAATATCTCCAGTGTTTGTTTGTTTGTTCTTACTTTTCTTTTGTGATTTGGTTGTGACCGGATCAGATTTTCTGGAATTCAAAGACGAAGCCAAAACACTTCCCCCACAGAAATTGTTCTTCGACAACAGAAAAAGCATAAAAAAATTTTTTAAATAAAATAAGCTATTAATTAACTCAGAATCCACAATAGAATTTTTCAGGAATTATGCTCATTATGCTTAAATTCTATATATCCTGTGAAATAATACTGACCATGCAAAAATTAGTATAAACAAGATTAAGTTTTATCTAAGTTGGTGTAAATTGCATTATTACCCTACTTAGATAAACACAAAGAGCATGATGATACTAATCTCATTAACTGATCATTTTTATATCTTTCTAATGAATAATTTCATATATTTATAACTACTTTAACCTATAGGGGAAAATTGAAAAAGCTGGGGCTATACCTGGAAAAAAAGTTATTTTATGTAAAATAATTTAATTTGGGAATTTAAGGGCATACCAATAAATAGCATGAATATTTACTTCCTATCTCATTACAGACCCATAAGTTTCCTACTATGTCATTGGAAAAATTAACATACTTGGTGGTGGTTGACATTTGGCCTTGAACCACCAAACTTTTATTCTAAAATATCAATAGATCTGCTCTTATAATCCCATGTGAAAACAAGAATTAAAACAATAATTCTTGAAAGACAAAGTTGACTCCAGGGTTTCTTCTTTGATATATTTTCTTTCCTATCCTATTTGTTATTCTATTGGTCTTTTTTTTTGGCCTTGCAGCTCAGCTAGCAGGATCTTAGTTCCCCAAACAAGGATTGAACCCAGGGCCATGGCAGTGAAAGTGCTGAGTTATAACCATTGAACTGCCAGGGAAGTTCGATGGTCTATGTCTTTTACTTAATTTCTCAATTGTGTAAAGTTCTGAAGCTATTTCACTTAAATTTTAAAAGGAAATATAATTTTTAAAAGGGTGTACATTGTAAAACTCAGTTATATTATGAATGGCAAGCCTCTCAAAAAATGGGGGAAAAATATCAATTCTGGATATATTTTACTTTGGTAAGTATATTTTAAGATATCTGTTGTTTGAAAGCAGAAGAATTGTGTTTAGAGGCTCTCAAACCTGCACACACATCCCCAGAGGGGAGTGGTATTCCCTAAATCCCATCCCCAGGGATTTTGTATTTTAAAAGAACTTCAAGTGATTCTGCCAGGTCCTCTCAAATCACTGGTCTCACTGTATCCTTTGGTCTTACAGTATATGTTCTATCATCCTTCCCTTAATTCATTGTCCCCTAGGCAGTAATTTTTAACCACGGCAAGATAAAAAAAATCCAGGTTTAATATGTTATGTAAGAATTTATGGACTTCCCTTGTAGTCCAGCTTTTAAGACTCCATTCTTCCACGCAGGGGGCATGGGTTCAATCACTGATTGGGTAACTAAGATCCTACAAGCCACTCAGCATGGACAAAAAAGAATTTAATGTGCTTCACTTTCAAAAAGTGATTTGCATCCATACAATGGAATATTTTACCACTATTACAAAAGAATTATAGACTATATGTAGCAATATGAAAAATCTCTTATGAAATATCAAGTGAAAAAAGTCAGGAAATAGTTTCTTATGAGGCTAAATGTCTTCTCTACCCCTTGATGTTGGACCAAGTCAAGTGATTTGCTTTATTAAATGTGGCATGTAAACTATCATGATGTTTAAACAGAAGCGTTAGGAGCCACTGCATGGTTGGCTTTTATTCTCTTTCCTCTTCCGTTAAGAACGGCATGGCCCAAAGAGGACTCCCTCTTCACATGGACCACCACCAAATCAGCTGACATGAATCATGAGCAAGTCATAAATGTGGGTGGTTGAAAGCCTCTGAGATATTGGGATCATCTGTTACCTCTGCAATGCTGACTGATGCCATTTCCCATTTACATGTAAAATGATAAAGGAGAAGTTTGTGAACATAAAATACTAACTAAACCTACATTCAAAAGAAAAAAAAAGGGTCAGAAAAAAAACCCAAAAAACCCAGTGTAATTCATGTATCATTTTTAGGTGAAAAAAAAAAAGTTATAAGAAAGAAACCATTAATAGTGCTAACCTTTGGGGAAAGAGCATGATGTAATGGAATAAAATAGGAGTGGAGAAGTGGGAGGGGGAAACGGAGTTTTCATTTTCCACTGAACAGCTTCCTACATAACTGAATTTACTTATAAAAAATAAAAGTTTTTTATAGAATACTTGGTGGACTTCCCCAATGGTCCAGTAGTTAAGATTTTGCTTTCCAGTGAGGGAGTATGGATTCGATTCCTGGTCGGGGAGCTAAGATTCCACATGCCTCATGGCAAAAAAACAAAACATGAAAATAACATGGCGAATGCTTCCTCTTTAGACTGTTCAAAATAAAACAAAGCAACAGTAATGGAAATACTTCAAAGTTCTCTCTTGAAACTTACAATATCAAGGCTTAGTCTTCTTGCCAGTTCTGCATCACTGTTCAGTTGTTCTTCCATTTCCCTGTGCCTTTTTTCTGCCTGTCTCTTTTCCTCCGCTTCCTCCTCTGCCAGTAATCTCTGAATGTATTCTTCACTGGCTTTGTTTTCTTCTTCCTCACAGGCTCGCCGCTCTGCCTCTACCTTAAAGACGATTAATACAGTACAATCCTTCTCCGAACTTTTGAGTACACTTTCAATATTTCTTAATAAGAATAGTAAAAAAAAGAAAGAAACAACAACAAATTGGCAGGAATTAAAATCCCTCAAATGAAGGCCAAATCTGGAGAGGCGATTTCCTGTAAAGTAGTTCAGGAAGTCTCCTTTAGGAAGCCTCCCCAGTCAGTCCAGTGAAACCTTGATCAAAGCCTCATCCCTCCTTGTTTCAGTCCTTATCACAGTTTCTATTACACTATAATAAAGTTTTTGAAGTCTTCCTAGGGGATATTTTTCCTTAGGTAATAGAAGGTCACGTTCTGACTAACTTTGGCATAGGTTTCTGAACCAAACACTAGCAAGGGAATGGAATGATAAAAACTGAATTAAACTAATCAGGGTCTCTCCCTGAAGTTGGGATGAATCTCCAAACACAGTGGACAGGGGTGCAGTAGTTGCTGAAAAAACAACAACGGTCATTATATGATCTACAGATGAGGAAAGACACAGAAAAACTTTAATAGATCAGTAAGTGATCTAACTTTCTTAGCTCAGTAAGTGGAAAAGTGGGGGCTCAAACTCAGCTTTCTGGACCTAAGACCATGCTTGTGGGCATTTAAACTATACTTCCTGAAAGAAATAATGTTAAGAAGAACTACTTTAGAAATCCAAAGGACCTGACTCGAAAGTAAGTCCTTGACTCAATTCAAGTGAAGGAAACAGGAGAAAAGATTTATTGTTTTCTTGCTCTTAAAGGAAAGCCATTGGAAGAGACTGCTGTTTCTTCCTCTGCGTATAATTGTATATGCAACTGAGGTCAGCAATGTGCAGTGGTCTTGCTATTAGCCTGAGGATAAAGCCAGGTGACAGAAGTCAGCAAAGAAATGGAACTAGAGCTCTGGATAAAACCAACCCTGAAGTCCCTACTAATCTCTGGAATTCCAATAAATTACAGTTTTTTTCACCTGTACCCAAAATCATCCTAATAAAACCTGTTCTCACTACATTGTTGTGAACATTAAATTATTCCTTAAACCCTTACTTAAAGACACTGTTTAGACAACATGCTGACAACTAACTACTACGATTATTTACTAGCTCTTGTAGAGCTCACATGGTCTAATACAGTAGCCACTAGCTACTTGTGGCCATTGAAATGTGACTAGTCCAGAAAAAGCCTTTGATAAAATTCAACATCCATTTATGATTAAAACTCTCCAGAAAGCAGGAATAGAAGGAACATACCTCAACATAATAAAAGCTATATATGACAAACCCACAGCAAGCATCACCCTCAATGGTGAAAAACTGAAAGCATTTCCCCTGAAATCAGGAACAAGACAAGGGTGCCCACTCTCACCACTACTATTCAACATAGTTTTGGAAGTGTTGGCCACAGCAATCAGAGCAGAAAAAGAAGTAAAAGGAATCCAGATAGGAAAAGAAGAAGTGAAACTCTCGCTGTTTGCAGATGACATGATCCTCTACATAGAAAATCCTAAAGACTCTACCAGAAAATTACTAGAGCTAATCAACGAATACAGTAAAGTTGCAGGATATAAAATTAACACACAGAAATCTCTTGCATTCCTATACACTAACAATGAGAAAACAGAAAGAGAAATTAAGGAAACAATACCATTCACCATTGCAACAAAAAGAATAAAATACTTAGGAGTATATCTACCTAAAGAAACAAAAGACCTATACATAGAAAACTATAAAACACTGATGAAAGAAATCAAAGAGGACACAAACAGATGGAGTAATATACCGTGTTCATGGATTGGAAGAATCAATATTGTCAAAATGGCTATACTACCCAAAGCAATCTACAGATTCAATGCAATCCCTATCAAACTACCAACGATATTTTTCACAGAACTAGAACGAATAATTTCACAATTTGTATGGAAATACAAAAAACCTCGAATAGCCAAAGTAATCCTGAGAAAGAAGAATGGAACTGGAGGAATCAATCTGCCTGACTTCAGACTATACTACAAAGCCACAGTCATCAAGACAGTATGGTACTGGCACAAAGACAGAAATATAGATCAATGGAACAGAATAGAAAGCCCAGAGATAAATCCACGAACCTATGGTCACCTTATCTTTGACAAAGGAGGCAAGGATATACAATGGAAAAAAGACAACCTCTTTAACAAGTGGTGCTGGGAAAACTGGTCAACCACCTGTAAAAGAATGAAACTAGAACACTTTGTAACACCATACACAAAAATAAACTCAAGATGGATTAAAGATCTAAATGTAAGACCAGAAACTATAAAACTCCTAGAGGAGAACATAGGCAAAACACTCTCCGACATAAATCACAGCAGGATCCTCTATGACCCACATCCCAGAATTTTAGAAATAAAAGCAAAAATAAACAAATGGGACCTCATGAAACTTAAAAGCTTTTGCACAACGAAGGAAACTATAAGCAAGTTGAAAAGACAGCCCTCAGATTGGGAGAAAATAATAGCAAACGAGGCAACAGACAAAGGATTAATCTCAAAAATATACAAGCAACTCCTCCAGCTCAACTCCAGAAAAATAAATGACCCAATCAAAAAATGGGCCAAAGAACTGAACAGACATTTCTCCAAGGAAGACATACAGATGGCTAACAAACACATGAAAAGATGCTCAACATCACTCATTATCAGAGAAATGCAAATCAAAACCACAATGAGGTACCATTACACACCAGTCAGGATGGCTGCTATCCAAAAGTCTACAAGCAATAAATGCTGGAGAGGGTGTGGAGAAAAGGGAACCCTCTTACACTGTTGGTGGGAATGCAAATTAGTACAGCCATTATGGAAAACAGTGTGGAGATTTCTTAAAAAGCTGGAAATAGAACTGCCATATGACCCAGCAATCCCACTTCTGGGCATACACACCGAGGAAACCAGATCTGAAAGAGACACGTGCACCCCAATGTTCATCACAGCACTGTTTATAATAGCCAGGACATGGAAGCAACCTAGATGCCCATCAGCAGACGAATGGATGAGGAAGCTGTGGTACATATACACCATGGAATATTACTCAGCCATTAAAAAGAATTCATTTGAATCAGTTCTAATGAGATGGATGAAACTGGAGCCCATTATACAGAGCGAAGTAAGCCAGAAAGATAAAGACCATTACAGTATACTAACACATATATATGGAATTTAGAAAGATGGTAACTAACCCTATGTGCAAAACAGAAAAAGAGACTCCTATGTATAGAACAGACTTGTGGACTCTGGGAGAAGGCGAGGGTGGGATGTTTCAAGAGAACAGCATTGAAACACGTATATTATCTAGGGTGAAACAGTTCACCAGCCCAGGTTGGGTGCATGAGACAAGTGCTCGGGCCTGGTGCACTGGGAAGACCCAGAGGGATTGGGTGGAGAGGGAGGTGGGAGGGGGGACCGGGATGGGGAATACATGTAAAAAAAAAAAAAAAAGATACACTATGGTTGTGAAAAAAAATAAAATAAAAAATAAAAAAAAAAAAAGAAATGTGACTAGTCCAAATTGAGATGTAGTATAAGTACAAAATACACAGTTGAAGACCAAATAAGAATAATCAATACTTTCTATATTGACTACATAATAAAATATTTTAGATACAATATCTATAAAAATTAATTTGTTTTTTAAAAAATAAAAAATGTGGCTAATAGGAAACTATGTATGAACCCACATCATGTTTCTATTGGACAACATTGCTCTAGACTAATCAGGATAGAAAGAGTACTAAGGTTCTCCTAGTACTAGTGAAATCCAAAGAGCCCTCTTTTCCTAATTAGGTACTTGACAAAGAAAATAGACTGAGCACCAAAGAATTAATGCTTTTGAACTGTGGTGCTGGTGAGACTCTTGAGCGTCTCTTGGACAATAAGGAGATCAAACCAGTCGATCCTAAAGGAAATCAACCCTGAATATTGGAAGGATCAATGCTGAAGCTGAAACTCCAATACTTTGGCTATCTGATACAAAGAGCAGACTCACTGGAAAAGACCCTGTTGCTGTGAAAGACTGAAGGCTGGAGAAGGGGATAATAGAGGACGATGGTTGGATGGCATCATTGACTCAATGGACATGAGTTTGACCAAGCTCCAGAGATGGTGAAGGACAGGGAAGCCTGGTGTGGTGCAGTCCATGATGTTAGAGTCGGACATGACTGAAAGACTGAAAAACAACTTCACAATTAGCCCTTTATGCTTTCCTCATCTAAAAACATTGTTTGTGCCTCTAAAATTCATATACTGAAGCCCTAACTCCTCAATGTGACATTTAGAGGTGGGGCCTTCAGGAGGTAATAGGATCATGAGGGTGGAGTCCTCATGAAAGGGACTAGTAGCCTTAGAAGAAGAGACACGAGAGAGAGGATCCATCTCTCCATCCCTCTCTTTGCCATGTAAGAACACAGTGAGAAGGCAGCTGTTGAGAAGCCAGGAAACAGACCCTTGCCCAACACCAGATCCAGAACTGAGAAGTCAATGTTTGTTGCTTCATTCACCCAGTCTATGGTGTTTTTGAGCCTGAATGAACTTAAGACACCATAAACTACCACTGTTTTCCCATCCTTTATGCTTAAAGCTTCAGGGAAATTTAAAGTCTCTTTTACACTTAAATGCTTACAGATCACTATCACATAGGAAGAGCATGAAACAAGTATAAATAAACTAAAGCTAATTTTAACTATTTTGAACACATGTAAAAACTGGAGCTGTGGGATGTCCCTAGAGGTTCAGAGATTAAGACTTTGCAGAGGTGAGGGTTTGAGCCCCTGATCAGGAAGCTAAGATCCCACATGACTTGCAGCCAAAAAGCAAAACATAAAACAGAAACAATACTGTGTTTCAATAAAGACTTTAAAAAATGGTCCACATTAAAAAAAAAAAAACTGAAGCCTTTATAAACTACATTAAAATCATTAACATTTCAGTATATATTACTTATTTATATAGGCACATAAAACTGTATGCAAAACCACAGCAGAAAATTTTTCCAAACAAGAGCATTTATGACCTACCTTGCTTATCTCCTCTTCATATTCTCTTCTTAATTCCCCAGGTTTACTTAATAAGCGGACTGGCTGATAGTCATCAACTGTTTCAGATCAAGAGAGAAAATTACATTATAGGCAATTACAGAATTCTATAGCTAGCTTTGAGCTTCCATTAAACCCATATTAATATAAAATGCAAAATTAAAATAAGTGTACAATTATTAACAGCTATAGGAATATGGAATTCCATTTTAAAAAAGGCCAGAGGTTTTCTGGTTCAAGATGGCACACAAATACGTATACTTAGCTCTTTCTCTAGAAACCATTAAAATAACAGTAAAGGAATTTTTAAAAAGCAATCCCACAATAATAACAAACAGATAGTTCTCCAAAAAAGATATATACAAATGGCCAGCAAGCACATGAAAAGATGCTCATCATCACTAGTCATTAGGGAAATATAAATCAAAACCACAGTGACACAGCATCTTCCCCCTACCCCATCAAACAAAAAAAAAACAAAACCAGAAAGTAGCAAATACTAACAAAGACACAGAAAGGAACTCTTGCCCTTGCTGGCGGGACTATTTAAGATTGTACAGCTGTTATGGAAGAGTATAGCAGTTCCTCAAAAAATTAAAACACAGAATTACCACATGATCCAGCAATTTCTTTTCGGATACACACTCAAGAGTTGAAAGCAGGGACAGACACTTGTACACCAATGTTAATTCAAGATAGCCAAAAGGTGGAAGCCAAAGATGGAAGTAATCCAATGACCCATTGACAGATGAAAGGTTAAACAAACACGGTAAACACATACAATAAAATATTAGCCATAAAAAGAAATGAAATTCATTCACATGCTACAACATAAAGTCTGACTTTATGTTAAGTGAAAGAAGGTGGTGATCATTTTGTACTATGTAAAATTACTGAATCACTGTTGTGAAATAGTGAACCTAATATACTGTAAGGTAATTATACTTGGATTATTTTAATGAAGGCGCCAAATTGCCCATACTGGGAAAAAGAGAGGAGAAAAAAAGAAAGGGAGGGAAGGAGGGAAGGGACAAAAAAAGCTACAAATAGCTACTATGATTCTACTTATATAAGGTACATAAAGTAGTTAAATCACAGAGACAAGAAGTAACAGTGGTGGTAGCCAAGGGCTGGGTGGAGAGGAACTGAGGAATTATTGTTTAATGGGTACAGAGTTTCAGTTTTTGAAGATGAAAAAGTTCTGGAAAGGGATGATGGTGATGCTTGCACACCTATGTGAATGTACTCAATGCCTTGAACTGAACATCTAAAAATGGTTAAAATGGTCAATTTTGTAATGTATACTTTACCACAATTTAAAAAACATACTAAGATACCAGTTAACACCTCCTAGGATGGGTATAAAAATTTTTTTTTAAAAAGCAGAAAAGAACTAGTGTCGGTTAGGATATGCAGAAATTGAAACCATTACACATTGTGAAGGGAATGTAAAAGGATGCAGATCTGTGAAAAAGTTTGGCAGTTCCTCAGAAGGCTAAACAGAATTACCATATGATCCAGCAACTCCACTCCTACATACACAAAAAATGAAAACATATTCAAACAAATACTTGTACATGAGTATTCATATCAGCACCCGTTCAAACAGCCAAAAGGTGAAAACTACCCAAATGTTCATCAATGAATGAATGAAAAAAATATATACATAAAAATTATTCAGCCCTAAAAAGGAATGAAGTATTAATAATAGAACCTTGTATGAACCTTGGAAACATTATGCTAAGTGAAAGAAGCCAGACACCACAGATCACATATTTTATGAATACACTTATATTATCTTTGTTGCTGTTGTTGAGTCGCTAAGTTGTGTCTAATTTTTGGGGGGACCCCATGGACTGTAGCCCGCCAGGCTCCTTTGTCTATGGGATTTCGCAGGCAAGAACACTGGAGTGGGTTGCCATTTCCTTCTCCAGGGGATCTTTCTGATCCAGGGATTAAACCTGCATCTCCTGCATTGGCAGGTGGATTCTTTACTGCCCAGGCACCTGGGAAGCCCTTCCCAATGAATACCTATTGCTTATTCTGAAGTTCTTTTGTTCTCAGATCCATCAAATAGCCCAGATGCTTCTTTCTGCTTATACCATGGAGATCTAATTTTGGTGATTTGTCCTGGTATCTTTTGGGGTTTATGAGAACATTTTATGAGCTAATTCTGTGGTAAATGATGTCTATGATGTTTAATTCTGCTAAATAAGTGGTGTGTGTGTTTTACTGCGGCTTCACAGAAATTAAAAAAAACCAAGCAAATTCACAGAGAACTCTGGAAAGGGGGAGGGGAAGAATGGGAGTCATAGCTTAATGGTTAAAGAGTCTGTCTGGAGTGATGAAAAAGTTTTGGAAACATAGTGGTGATGGTTGCAAAACATTGTGAATGTAATTAACACTACTGCGTCCACTTAAAAATGGTTAAAATGGCAAATTAAGAAAAATTATGACCAACCTAGACAGCATATTAAAAAGCAGAGACATTACTTTGCTGATAAAGGTCTGCAGAGTCAAAGCTATGGTTTTTCCAGGAGTCAGGTATAGATGTGAAAGTTGGACTATAAAGAAAGCTGAGCGCTGAAGAACTGATGGTTTTGAACTGTGGTGTTGGAGAAGACTCTTGAGAATCCCTTGGACTGCAAGGAGATCCAACCAATCCATCCTACAGGAAATCAGTCCTGGATATTCACTGGAAGGACTGATGCTGAAGCTGAACTCCAATACTTTGGCCACCTGATGAGAAGAACTGACTCAATGGAAAAGACTCTGATGCTGGGAAAGACTGAAGGCAGGGGAAGGGGACAACAGAGGATGAGATGGTTGGATGGCATCACTGACTCCATGGATATGAGTTTGAGCAAGCTCCGCGAGTTGGTGATGGACAGGGAAGCCTGGCATGCTGTAGTCCATGGGGTCACAGCGTCAGACATGACTGAGTGACTGAACTGAATTGACAGTAAGTAAAAAGAATTCCAAAAAAAGGTAAGTACATCACAGCATTAAGCATCACATTCAAAGCCTAAACAAAAAACATCGCATGACTTATTGAGCACATAAATGATCAAGCTGCTAGAGTCAAGTGTTCAGTTTGGGGCATAAGGAAGAGTCCACACTGTGGAGGACCTCTGAATAAAAACGGCTGAATTAGATGGCCACAGAAACCTATTTTAGGCTCCCTGCAAACTTAAGAATTAAATGAATGGCAATGTATAGGCAAGCAAGTTAGAGAAAGTAATTGAAAGTGAAAAAGACATTAACACAAGAATCCAGTAGTTTCCTTACTTCTGCTGTTGCTATACTGCGATTGTGGCTCCTCTGCGACTATTTATATAACTTTTCACATGACTGGAGACTCTATCGGGCAATTCTTTCGTTTGGGGTTTTCCTTTTCAATTTTTAATTGAACAAACACCAAGTGAACACAGGCTGGGCATTATAACAATGAACAAAATATTGCCATTGTCCTTAATCAACATCTTGAGGCCAAAAAAACCCAAACACCTCTGAAAATTTTAGACAAATTTTAATAACTGGTTCTCTGTTTTATCCTTTTAAAAATGGATTAGTGGCGGTTGGCTTTCAAAATGATCTTGGTTTTTAGACAACAGACGCGCTGGGTTCTACTCACCAATTTCCTCTGATTCTTGCCCAGCGGCTCTTAGCTTGCATTCCTTTGGATAGTGTTTTTGAATTATCTCCCACAGTTCCATATTAACAAGAGAATTTGTTCGGGTACGGTACCGAGCCCACGAAGAGACACGGCGGCGACAGAAGGGACAGCACAAATTTGCCTTTTCGACAGTCGATTCGAAGCATGGTTTACAGAGCGTGTGGTTACAAGGCAGAGTCACAGGCTCAAAAAGGATTTCCACACAGATCTGGCATTGACATTCTAACAAGGAAGGGATGGCGTCTTTGGGTACAGCCATTTTAATATGCTAATAAGGCATATTCAACATCAACACCTGAAAGGGAAAGAATGTTGTTTCCGGTCCGAGTAGGAAAAAAGCAAAGTAAGTTTCGCGTTTTAAATATTATGCCCAGCAGCCTGCCAGAATTCAGAGATTGAAAGCATCAAATGTCTAGAAGTAAAAAAGGTGTTCTAAAGGTCAGGTAAACAGTACGACCCTGGAAGGCGGTGTATTATCCATGCTTAAGATGAACATCCGGAAAGAAAAGAAATGAATCTTCGCTGCTCCCAGGCATTAACAACCATTGCAGCAGGACGGAAGGTGGGCTCCAGCTCTCCGGCGCGGCCAGAGCCACACGCCAAGTTCCCCTCCTTCCTCTTACCAGGTGAGGACGCTCCCTGAGCTCCTGGCAGCCAAGTCGGAGGGCCCCGCGGCGAACAGCCCTCGGGCCATCGCTCGAGGAAGACTGCAGCTCCCCCCCCGGACGCGGGCTCCGTTGGAGCGGGACTTCCGTTTCACCGCTGCTGTGGGCCCGCGCTCGCGCCTTACCCGGATTCTGAGCCCACCCCTTCCTCTCTCTAAAGTCAGCCAGAAAGCCTAATCTCAGCGGCGGTGCTTTAGAATCCCGCAAAGGCTAGTGGCGTCACGACTGCCCGCCAAAACGGCCCCACCCATCATAGAAAACCGACAAAGGATACAAACAGCTAACATTCCGCCTGACGGGACTTCCGGGCCTGCGCGCGCACTGCCCACCCCGCTGGCCCCGCCCCTCTGGCCCGAGAGAGAGCCCGCCCCTCCCCTCGCGTGGCGTGTGTGCTTGCGTGCTAAGTTGGTCCAGTTCTTTTGAACTCTGCGACACTATCGTCTGTGGCCCGGAAGATTCCTCTGTCTATGGGATTCTTGAGGCCAGAATACTGGAGTGGGTTGTCATGCCCTTCTCCAGGTGATCGTCCCAAACCAGGGGTGGAACCCCCGTCTCCTGCGGCGCCTGCATTGCCGGGTTCTTTTACTGGTGAGCCACCGCCCCCCTCGGGTCGTTGTGGCTCTAATTTTCCCGCGTGATTCCTGCTCCCGGGGACTGCGGAAACCGGGCAGTGTCGCAAGATTGGTCTCTGGGCGGAAAAAGGGAAACCTCAAAACAAACTAAGAGCCGAGCGGTAACTTGAAAATTCTCCCCTCCATACTCCTCAGCCTACCTTTCTGTAGTACCATTCTGTACTGTTTATACATGATGGCCTGCCTCAGGGAACCTTGCCCCTCTGCCTGACTGTTAAATCAGGACCTTTGTTCAGGACCCTGTTCACCTGGGGATGGCTACAGGAAGAAATCGACACATCCCTTCCCCCAGGCTTGCCATTCTAGGAGATATTTGCAAGTTGAAGGGGCTTTTTACTTCTCTTCCTCACCCCAGCCCCTCCACCTACACGTTCTATAAAAGAACCTGGCATCCAGACCCAGATAGGATGATTATTTTGAGACATTAGTTTGCCATCTTCTTGGTCAGTGAGTAGAACCAGCTGGGACTTGGTAATGCTGTCTGTTCAAGCCCAAGCTGCCTGTTCTCTTTATTTGGTGCCCTGCAATAAATGCTGTACTACTTTCTTTTTATTTTATTTTATTGTACTTTCCCTTAACACAACCGCATGTCAGTAGATTGGCTTTGTTGCAGACCCAAGTTTGGTTTAGTAACACTTCCAAAACACAGTTACAGTCTTTCTCTCTTTTGTGGCATGGTTTCTCTAAACAATGTGTCTGGAGAAGGATAAGATTGAGTGCATATATCTGGCAACCAACCTATTGTCAAGGAGGAACCAGCAAGGTAACACATCTTGTATTACTTCTCATCCTTCTCTACCTAACTTCCCTCCAAGGTGTTACTCATTCTGGTTGTCCTGAATTTGTACCTTCCAAATAAAGTAATTTTTGCCTGTAGGGCAGGATCCACATTTTAAAATGTTTCTATTATTGACACTACATATTGCATGGCATTTGTTCAAAAAAGAGTATAAAATATATGATCACTGTGTGGGAATTCCCTTTCTAGTATAAAACAACCTATGGAACTGTACCAGAGAGAAAATGCACATCAACATACAAAATATAGTAGATTTTTTTTTTTGCTTTACTACATCATACATTCACATGTTTCAAAATTCATAAAGTACAAAATGAATTAACAGTGAAAAGACTTCTTCCTACCTTTGATCCCTAGCCTCGAATTAGTTTTCTTTCCTAAAACAACCAATGTTACCACTTTTTAATGTATTTCTCCAGAAGTTTATAGATATAGTAGCCTATGTATTTGTTTTTGCCCTTTTTTTTTTTTGAGCAATAATGTTGGAAATATTTTAAAACACATCTTGGTGATTACTCTGTGTTACTATACAGTTACATGAAAGCTTTTTCATTCTCTTATATTGCTACACAGAAGGTATCCATTGTATCAATGTATTATAATTTAACACTCTTCTCACTTTTGCTATAAAAATAAGCTTGTAATAACTTGTATATATGTATTGCTTCCCATTTGCAAGATAAATTATACTAGACATGGAATCTCTGAGACCAGTGTAACAGATTAGCTTTTGACTGGTGGTATCAACTCTTTTAGGGGTGACTTTTTCTCTTTGGGGGCCGTCTCTGCTTTCCCCTTCTCAATGACCTGAATAGCCTTCAGCAAACCATCCTGCAGAGCCTGGTTCTTTACCATATTAGAGATCATGAAATTGATATCTCTTATATACATCTGCCTTACTTTTGCAATGTAGTGTTCTGCCTTGTTACCATGTGCTACAAAGAAGATACACAGTGCTGTGATATCTCCTTCTTGCAACCCATACTCCTCCAGAACAGACTCCCATACAACTCTGATGCGCTTGTTCTTGACTTTTTGTCTAAGGATGGAGGCTAAGGTGGGAAGACTTCTCACCAGATCTGGCAGCTTCTCAAGCACACGAGTGTGCAAGTGGACAAGTACTTCAATGACGTAGCTGTATAAAATATTCAGTTCCATTGAAGTGAACCTACAAAAAATGTGGGCACTTCTTAAGCAGTAGAACTCTCTATGTACAGCCATAAAGTGAATTTTATTAGGATAATTCAAAGAATTATAAACATACTAGGAGAACTTTAAACAGATTGGGTTAGAGGTCTCCAGAGAAAGAGAACAAGACTTGGATCTCTTAACATAAGAAAAGCCATTGTTTATCTAAGCAGTTTTGTGATCTAAGCCTGGCCACAATGCTTGCCCTGGAACAGATCTCAGTAATTCATGATCTTAAGGGAAGTGATGGAATGTTGGAACAAAGGAAAGGCTATCAAGAAACAATAGATCAGTGATAAGTGTTAGTTGCTCAGTTGTGTCCAACTCTTCGTGACCCTGTGGACTGTCACCCACCAGACTCCTTTGTCCATGGGATTCTCCAGGCAAGAATACTGGAGTGGATTGCCATTTCCTTCTCCAGGGGATCTTCCTGACTCAGGGATTGAACCTGGGTCTCCTGCATTGTAGGCAGATTCTTAACCATCTGAGCCACCAGGGAAGCCCAGTTCTTCCTAAAAGGATATAGGTAACAATCTGATATATATCTTAGAGTTCTGCAGGAACTAAGGCCCCACCCAGGTGGTCGTGGTGGTGATTGTTCAGTCACTCAGTCATGTCCAGCTCTTTGCAACTCCATGGACTGTAGCACACCAGGCATCCCTGTCCTTCACTATCTCCCGGAATTTGCTCAAACTCATGTCCATTGAGTTGATGATGTCATCCAATTATCTCATCCTCTGTCACCCCTTATTCTCCTGCCTTCAGTCTTTACCAGCATCAGGGTCTTTTCCAATGAGTCAGCTCTTTGCATCAGGTGGCCAAAGTACTGGAGCTTCAGCTTCGGTATCAGTCCTTCCAAAGAATATTCAGGATTGACTTCCTTTAGGATTGACTGGTTTGATCTTCTTGCCATCCAAAGAACTCTCAAGAGTCTTCTCCAGCACCACAGTTCGAAAGCCTCAGTTCTTTGGTGCTTATCCTTCTTTATGGTCCAACTCTCACATAGCTTTGACTAGACAGATCTTTGTTGGCAAAGTATTTTCTCTGCTTTTTAACACACTGTCTAGGTTTGTCATAGCTTTTCTTCCAAGGAGCAAGTGTCTTCATTTCATGGCTGCAGTCACCATCCACAGGTGGAGCCCGAGTGGAGGGTAGAATGATGATATTGACCTTTTCTGACTCTTTTGATTTCAATCACTAAAGCTTGAATTCTGTCAACCTTTGCCCCAGTTCTGTGCTGGTTGTCTCTGTTCAAGCTCCTTCATGAATATGCATCTATCCTTAGCTTAAAACTTCCTGATTTGGATATTTGGGAATACGCTGCTTAGGGAAAGATCCCTGCTGTTCTCCTTACTTGCTGCAAGTAATAAATCCTTCCTTGTCCAAATCTTTGGCTTGGTTGTGTCTTTTGGCCCAGCACCCACCAAGAGGCCAACCCAGCTTTTGGGTTCGGAACAGAAGCAGCTGTTGTAGTTTAGGAAATACTTTAGAAATAGGGCCTGCCCTATTACAAAAGCCAGAACGTGGAAGCAACCTAAGTGCCCATCAGCAGACGAATGGCTAAAGAAGGTATGGTGTATATCTACAATGGAATGTTACTCAGCAATAAAAAAGAGTGAAATAATGTCCTTGCAGCAACAAGGATGGACATAGAGATTATAATACTAAGTGAAGTAAGACAGACATCACAATATCACTTATATGTGGAATCTAAGAAAACAGTACAAATGAACTTACTTATGAAATAGATTCACAGACACAGAAAATAATGAACTTACTTATGAAACAGATTCACAGACACAGAAAATAATTTTATGGTTACCATAGTATAAATTAGGAATTTAGAATTAACAGATACATACTATTAAAAGAATTTTTTTTTAAAAGAAAAGAAATAGGGTTTGCACTCAACTGGATAACTTAGATTTCAGGCCACTCATACTACAAATTTTTCAATGGCAAAGCACTTATATTATCCATCTCTGTGTTATAAAGACTTTGCCAAGCAAGGGACTCTGAGATGTGTACCAGAGTATGGCAAGTAAACCAGCACTCAAATCAATCTTTTTTGAATGAATGAGCCTGAGAAAATGTGATTTCTTCACAACCCATTGTTGGAACCATATTAAGAAACCCAGTTTTAGAATGACCACTGCAAGCTATCATTAAACCACATAATTCCACTGATTTCTGATTAGATACTCACTTGAGTGACAGAACTGCTGTCCATAGCTCATCTTGGGCTCCCTGGTTTGCCAAAGTCTTGCTGTGATCTTCAAATTTCTGTTTCAGATTATCCTTGATGAAGTCCAGTTCTTTAAAGTGTGCTTCTAAAGCTTGGAGTTTGTGGTCTACTCTATAGGATAACAAAATCAAAGGTTAATTTGGGTCAGAGCACAAAATTAAGATTTCGCCTGAAGATAAAGCTACAATACATTGTTTATAGTCACTATCAGTAGCTACTTAAATTTTACAATTATGGATAGATGTTCCCATTTGCCATTCTCGCTAGTCATCATCCTAGTTCTTGCATTCCTTATATTGCCAAACATGTGAATTGTCTATCTCAACTATCTGCCTCATCTTTATTAATATATTGTACCTCATACTTTAAGAAGTATTTTATACAAACTTTAATTTGATTCTCACAATAACCATAAGTAGTGAAGCAGTCATTTTTACTATTTTACAGGTAAAGAAATTGAGTCTCAAAAAGATCAAGATTTAACCATCATATAGCTATTAACAAGTGCTGAGACCCATATTTATTAAGGTGGCTTTCTCTACCTTACTCTGACTATCAAAGTCTTATCCATCAAGGATAAGCTCATTCCATGCCTGCTTGAATCCTTCAGCCTTTCTACCTGGAGATCAGCTCCTTGCCTGCTTCTCTGTCACAGACACTGTCTCTATTACTTGTCACTCCCATCTCTTCCTTTATTTTTAGAGTTAGCTTTTTGTGATCTAAATTGTAAACTCTTGAAGAGAGAGGATCATAGACTATTTCTTGAACATCTTTATGCTTGTCCCCCAATATCTAGCAGAGGTCTTACACAGAAGTAATAAAACATGTCTTCTATGACATTTGTGGTATTAGTGAAATGCTAGGCAGTGTAACAAAAGGGGGACCTGAGTTTCTCTGAACAACCCTGATCATTAGAGGGCGCTGTGGCACCAAAATTACGTCTAACTGAACCACAAAGAACTGAAACCCCACAGCTCACTTGTTTGAAGTCACCCACACTGTCTTTCATGAAGGGATACACAGCCAGTTCCCTGAGTTTCTATGTCCCCAGTGACCTGAATACTGTTGTGGTTGCCTAGGGTTCTGTCCTTGCCCATCTTCTCTTCTTGGTCTTCACTTTATTCCAAGGTTAATTAGCTTCAGGTACCACCCCTATCCTAAGCTCTAGAGCTGAATTTTCAACTATGTTTTGTACATCTCCACTTAGATGGTGGTATCAGACTCAACTGTCTTAAGCTGAATTTACTAAGTAAACCCCTCCCCTTGCACTCTATCTTCATAAATTTCAGCAATGGATTTTTCTTGTTCTGGATTCTATATGCATATAGATAAAGCTCTGTATGAAATGTGCATTTTCATTGGGAAGATCCCCTGGAGAAGGGAATGGCTATCCACTCCAATATTCTTGGGCTTCCCTGGTGGCTCAGATGGTAAAGAATATGCCTGCAGTGCAAGAGACCTGGGTTTGATCCCTGGAGATGGGAATGGCTACACTGCAATATTCTTGCCTGGAGAATTCCAGGGACAGAGGAACCTGGCAGTGTAGAGTCCATGGGTTTGCAAAAAGTCAGATACAACTGAGCAACTAACATTTTCACTTTTTTTCAAGGCTCTGTATATGCATTTTCATAGGAACATAGGCCTACATGACCTAATATGCCAGCAATCTGTCCACATGTCAAAACTATTATATCTGATAAACTCTTTGTATTAACTTTTAGACCTTTAAGAACATACTTCTTATAAGTCATCTCCAGCTTGAACTCTAGAGATAAACTTTAGCTTGTCCATCGGTATAAAGGTTTATATAAATTGAAGCAATTATTTGGAATCCTTTCACCAAAAGGCATTCCTAGATCGTTTCAAATAAATCCTAAGGAACATGTCTGCAAATTTGCATTTCTGTGACAGTTGTCCAGCTCAGTTAATGGGATCACCATTTACCCAATTCCTTGAACTAGAAATCTCAAAATAACTCACTATTTTCCCCCTTTCTTTCCATCAAATGTCTCTAATCTATTCCCTCCTCTCTATCTCTAGTAAGTCAGTTAATCACCATCTTTCACTTCGACCTAGGATTACAGTAGTCTAACCAGATTTCTGCTCTTCACCTCCAATCCATCCCCGAGAGCTATTCTTCTAAAACAGAATTCTATTCTCATAACTTGACTATTATATACATCTTATGCTGCCCTGACTTGCCTAGTGATATTGCTGGAGTCAAGTTGGATCTCCTCAGCAGGAATTGTAGACTCTTTAACCTTTGCCCCTATCCTCTGCCAGTCCTCTTGCACAACTTAGTCACCAGTCACATGAGACATCTAGCTGCTGACTGAATACGGTATGAGTCCAAGCATCTGTGGTTTACATGTACTGTTTCCTCACCCTAGAATTCCTTCCCATATTTTTATTTCTTGCAAACTCCTACTCACACTTTTAGATCCAGTCTAAACGTCCCTCTCTGAAGGGTTCCTTTTCCTAATATCAAAGGCAAAATTCATTCCTCTCTTCATGTCTCATAGCCCTTTAGGAGCATCACCATTATAAGGTCAGTCACGTTAAATTGTAAACATTTTTTAATAAGTCTGTTATTCCAAAGGCTGTGAGCTCCTTGAGCACAGAAACCACATTTTACTTATTTTTGTAAGCCCAGCATATAGCGCATGCATTAGTCGAATGGAATACAGCACCTAGGAGGAGATTTTTCTTTATTATTAATGGACACAGTTTTTGAACCTGAACACATTAACAGAAAAAGAATTCTAATTAGCATGCCTGTAGTTCTTTGCCTGTTTTTATTCTTCATTCTTCTCCTACCCATCTTCCCAGAAAAGCCGACCCATGCTTGCTCCCTCCCTGTAGCCCTTAGCAACCTTTTCATTGCCTCCTTCAAGGATATCAGGGTTGTGGTTTCATTGTTCATCTTCTTAAGGCAAAATGAAAAGAAACAAAACAAGCAAAACAAAAGCCCCACAGAGGTTTGAATCCAGGGTTTTCTGCTGCTATCCACTCAGCAACAGGCAGCAGCAGTGTGAGTATTCGATCTAAATTCTGCCTGAAAGGTCACTCAGTACAAGAAGCTTTTAATAGCTTGTACATCCAGATATAGTTCCAAAGAACTGATCGTGTGAACACAGGTGTCCTGGGATGCACTATAATATTTGCCTTTGAAAAATGACCCGTAGTACATCAAACAGATGTACTATGTAAATCACCCATAGTAAAACAACCAGATGTAACTGTGACTCAGTGTATATTCTGGTAAATGGATATATAGGTACACAAATGTATACATATACTAGGATTAAATTTGATGGAAATACTACTCTCAAATTTTAAGAGCTTAATTATTCACTTAGAACTTAAATTAGTTTTAAAGAAGCTTCAGACCTTTTATGATGAATTATATCAATGCGAAAAAAATCTAACCGTCCTTAGAAACTAATAAATATTTATTAAGCTTATAGTATTAGATTAGGTATTAGAAATAAAAACAGGCATAAGACAGGATTTCTGAATTCAAGGGGTTTAAATACTAACTGAGGAGGTATTTAAAAGATAAATATATTGAAAAGAAAAAAAATATATGAAAGTACTGTGTGCTGAGTAGATACAGACCATAAAAATCATATGTGATGAGACAGTATGTCACTGAAGCCTTGGAAGATTGAGTATCACTCACATTGAAGGTGAAATTTGGTTTTGGCCTTAGAGGAAATGTAGGTCATTGATTATCAGAGAAGAGAGAGAAGAGTATTACAAACCGGAGAAACTGGATAAAATTACACATGTAGGTGGCAAGGTTATGTGATGTGGTCAGGGAACAATGAGTGAGTGTCTCTCAAGCAAAAAACTCATGTGAGAGAAAGAAAAACAATAGCATTTAAACTGATTAAGAGTCAGGTCATGGATGTATTCATTCATTGAATAACTTACTCATTTATTCAATAGTTGCTGAATGCCATAAATTCCAGTTGAATGGACAAAACCTATGAATGAATGACCAGCACTATTCTAGGTACTGTGAATAAAATGAAGAATAAGGCAGAATCCTTACCCTAAGAAGCATACTAGTAGGGAGACTGAAAACAAGGATTGCAAAAAAGTGGATGGTTCTAGATAGCCTGGTAAGGAGTTTGGACACATGTGTTGGTTCTGCAAATTATTCTAGTATGGGTGTTTACGATGGACCCAAATAGTAATAAAACCGGAGGCAGAGCTGTCCCTCAGGAGACTGATATCACAGTCAGCTGTGAGGTGATGAGATTGCAATGTCTGTCCTCAGGAAAGAGGCAGAGCTGAGAGACAAGGACCCCTGGGGGTTGGAGTCAGTAAGTCTCATGTGAATCTTCAGAAAAGCTTGGGTGTCCTGAAGGAATCAAGTCCTTCCTTGCCTCAGGGGGAAAACCTTGCCCGGATCTTGTGTCCTACCTAGTGACCATCGTCCCCAACATCTCTCCACCTCCGCTATTTTTTCCTTATTAACAGAATCTAAATCCAAATATTGTTCAAGTATTGGGCAGCTGTGTGCTTCAGGGGACTCTGGGATCCACCCTATCCAGTCACAAGGGGGGTAAATCTTGATAAGAACAGGCCAGTCAGTAATTTCATGAATGCTGCCATTACCATTGGTTTAGGGAGCGGCAGGTGGCAGAATTCTGGCCTAATGAAATGTGAGAGGAGGCTTACTGGGGGGCTTCTGAGAGACAACTTTTTTTTTAACTTGTGATAAAATACACATAATATAAAATTTACCATTTTTTTGGTGGAGAGCAGTGGGAAAAATGGAGGAAAGTAGTTAAAAGTTACAAACTTCTAGTTATAATAAAATAAGTCTAGGAATGTAATGTACAGCATGGTGACTATAGCTAATAACACTGTTTTGTATTTTTGAAAGCTGCTAAGAGTTGATCTTAAAAGCTCTTATCACTGGAAAAAAAATGGTAACTATTTATGGTGATGGAGTTAACTAGACTCAACGTGGTGATTATTATGTAAACATACATATATTGAACCATTATGTTTTACACCTGAAACTAATACAATATTATATGTCAGTTATATCTCAATTTAAAAGTTTAACCATTTTTTACCATTTTCAGTGTACAGTTCTGTGACATTAAGAACACTTACACTGTTGTCCAAACATCACCACCACCCATCTCCAGAAGTTTTTCATCTTCCCCAGCTGAAACTCTGCCCCTGTTAAACACCAACTTCACATTCTCCCCTCTTCTTAGCCCCTGAAACCACCATTCTACTTTTCATCTCTATGATTTTGACTACTCTAGCTCCATATATAAGGAGAATCATGTCCTCTTGTGACTGGGAGAAGAGTTTTTCTGATGATAAAAAGAAATACATGGAAGAAAATGCTCTCTTAACTCCTCAGTATTGTTGGGTCTTCCTTCACGTGATGCCTGGGACTGCAGCATCCAAGCTATAACAGCCATGAAGGGAACCGGCTCAGGGACTTCCTCAAAAATTAAAAATAGAGCTACTACTGTATGATCCAGCAATCCCACTTCTGGATATACATATCCAAAGGAAATGAAAAGAGGGTGTCCATGAGAGACCTGCATGTCCATGATCACTGCAGCATTATTCACAATAGTCAAGCTATGGAAACAAGCTAAGTGTCCAAGAAAGAAGGAAATCCTGATGTTTGCAACAACATGGATGGACCTTGAGGGCATTATGCTAAATGAAATGCCAGACAGAGAGGACAAGTACTGCACGGTATCATTTATATGTGGAATCTATTAATAAATAAAAAGCTAAACTCATAGAAACAGTAGAAAAGTGGTTGCCAGGGACTTGGAGTCAGGGGAAGAAAGAGACTGGGAAAAGGATAAAGTTAAATAAAAAAGAAGAAAGACTCTGTCACTGAATTAATCTCCCCTAGAACTGTTTCATTGCTAGTATGCTTATTATGAGGAGTAATGACTTTGCCTTATTGATTAAGCCTTTTATAGTTCAGACTTGGTCCTTAGGAATTCAGCGAATGAAGGAGACTTTGTGTGTGTTGGGGGGGCGGGGGGTGCCCATCATACAGCATTAGGATCATAGGATCCTAGTTCTCTGAGCAAGGATTGAACCCAGGCCCCCTGCAGTGGAAGTGTGGTGTCCTAACCACTGGAAGTCAGGGATTTATGTGAAGGAGACCTTATACATCAGATTCTTCTTTGCTGGGGTTTCTTCAGAAGCACTTCATTTCTCTAGAGCTAACATTAGTTTTCTTATGGGTAGGCCTGTGGCTAGTATCTTGACAAGAAAATAAAACAGGGAAGGAAGAGAGGAATAGGTGGAAACTCTGACGTAACCTGGCATCTCTGTCCTCAGATCACTCAGAATAAGTTGTTGGGGAACCAACCCCCAGGCCCTGGAAGAACGTTTAAAACAGGGTAGAGGTCAAACGGTTCTGCTGTGGGATCAGAGCCTGGCAATTCCACCCACAGTGCTGCTTCCTCCAGGATGCTGCCTGCCTATCCAGATGCAGTACTTGTCCCCTTCTCACACTTGCATTGACTCTTGTCTGTGCACACCTAAACAGGACCTGCTGATCACTCCATCCTGGATCGCCTCTCTGGTATTTGGCCTGTTGTCTGCCCAATATTTTGAATTTCCTGATCTCTTCTGCCAGGCTCACCTTCTGCACCCTCCTTGTCCCCTGTCATATTGGCTTTCAAACTTTTTTTTAGCTAGTGAACTTTATTTTTTACAGCAGTTTTAGGTTCACAGATAAAATTTATATATCCCTGCCCTCACACAGACTTAATCACACCTGCCCACCCCCACCCCCCGCCATGATAGACAACCTGTACCATAGTGTATATCTGTTATAAGGGATGAACCTACACTGACACCTCCTTATCACCCAAAGTCTCTAGTTTACATTAGGTTCACTCTAGGTGTTGTCCAGTCTGTGTGTGTGCCAAGTCGCTCAGTCGTGTCCGACTCTTTGCAACCCCATGGACTGTATCCTGCCAGACTCCTTTGTCCATGGAATTCTCCAGACAAGAGTACTGGAGTGAGTAGCCATTCCCTTCTCCAGGGGATATTCCAGACCCAGGGATCAAACCCAGGTCTCTTGCATTGCAGGCAGATTCTTTACAGTCTGAGCCACCAGGGAAACCCCCTGGTGGCTTGTCCAGTTTATAGTTTTTGACAAATACAGTATAGGTATTCACCATTGGGATGTCATACAGAATAGTTTCACTGTATGCTCTGCCTATTCTTCTCTCTCTTCCCACAAACCTCTGGCAGCCACTGATCTTTTCACTGTTTCCATAATTTTGCCTTTCCCAGAATATCATATGGCTGGAATCATACAGTATGTAGTCTTTTCAGATTGACTTATTTTTACTTAGTAATATGCATTTAAATTTTCTTCATGTCTTTTCATGGCTTGATAGCTCATTTCTTTTTAGCTCTGAACAGTATTCCACTGTATGCATCACAGTTCTTTTATCCTTTCACTTTTGAAAGAATCTTGGATACTTCTAAGTTTTGATTTCTATGAATAAAGCTGCTATAAATAATGTGCAGGTTTTTGTGTGGACATAGGTTTTCAGTTTATTTGAGTAAATACCAAGGATCTTGATTGCTGGATTACATTGTAAGAGTATGTTTAGTTTTGTAAGAAACAACCAAACTGTCTTCCAAAGTGGTTGTGCTATTTTGTACTTCTACCAGCAATGCAATCAGGGTTCTCGTTAATCCACATTCTTGCCAGCATTTGGTGTCATCATTGTTTTGGATTTTGGCAATTCTAATAAGTGTATAGTGGTATATCATTATTTTACTTTGCAATTCCCTAATGACAAATGATGCTGAATATCTTTTCTTGTGCTTACTTGCCATCTTTGGTAAAATGTCTGTCCAAGGGTTTTGCCTTGTTAAAAGTCAGATTGTTTCCTTATT